CTTCCACAATCAACGTGAGCTTCGGTTAAATTAAACTTCATAAACATGAATGCTTATAACTTAATTTACGAAAGCCGGAAATTTTGATAAAAATAATTGATAACAATGTTAATTTAATGATAACAGAGAGAAAAAACACACGACAGAATGAGGTTTCGTAAATTTGCCTTGTGCTGTGAATTCAAGTGGCATTTATAGTTTAATATTTGTACTTAGTATAACTTGACTTTAACTTGATCATCCAATTTTTTCTTCCCTTTTTGTGACATTATTATATATTTTTGAAATGTAGAGTTGAATGATTAGTCTGACTGTCTGTTTGTTATGTTTGAAAGATTGATTTTAGGTAGATTTATGTTTTTGAATGATTTTTAGATCATTAAACTTATAGATGATTACTTCGGATGCTAGAGATCTTGGTTTAGGTCGAATTGAATAACCATAAAACTAGAGATGTAATTTTAATAAAAATTTCCAGGTTCAAATGAGAATGGGGATTTAAAGATTCAGTTTCCAGTGAACCTTATATGTAGTTTTACCTGAATGACTCAAAAAAAGGTTTCTTTTCAAGTAAAACTGATCTAGTCATAATAACATAGTGTGATTGATATGACACCCGAGCCCCACAAAATGGATGTGGGTAATTCCATGAGTGGGAAAATCGAAAAAAAAAAAAATTTAAAAGTGTTATTCGCTTTAATTAAAAACATTTAACTCGATTTGATGAGCTTATCTTATAGCTTAATATGAAGTGATTTTATGACAATTAAAACTTAACAGCATAAATATGTCGATAATTAATTATTTTAATAAAACTGTTGTCAAACGGTTAAATCTTCAAAAAATGTGAAATTTGTTCATGAAAAGTCTTCATATACATGATTTAGCCAGTGATTGAGTAATTTAAGTAATTCTAAATTAAATTATCTTCAAATAGATGTGAGTTCTACTTAATAATATGCTGTAATTAACGAGAAAACTGAGAAAAACTGCGTCAAACGCACAATGATTCAGATTTGAAAAAAATGTTCAAAAATTCAAAAATAACAAGTTAATTAAACTATATGTTTTAAATGCCAGATTAAAGAACATGATGTGTTTTATGTTCTGTAAAAATATCACATTCCAATTTGTTGTCTAATTCACAAAAATTCGATTTTAAGATGCCAATAAATTTGTTTACAAAATGACAACAAATATTTTTCTTAAATTTTTTCTCCTTTCCACTTCAAATTTCTTGTTTTAATCCTGATAACCAGCTTAATTAAGCTTAGTACTTTGTGTTTGTGTGAAGAAACCAAAAGAAAACCTATTAATTGGGCGAATATACATGATTAATTTTTTTGAAATTTACCAAGACTTTAAACACTCATAAGTTAAATTCGCGTCTTTCCGCTTCTACCAAACCTATTTAAATATAAAGAACAAAGTCTAATTAACCTTCCATATTAATTTGTACATGCCCAAATATGCCCGAAGCGAGATATTTGCGATTGAAAATTAGTTAATTTTTCATACAAATTACTATCGTGCGCCAAATTTTTTGATAAACATTTGTGAAATTTGTAAAAAAAAACTTATTTATCCTCAATTTCATGACTTAATATTTTGAGGAATCAATAATCAAGTAAGATTAAAGGCATTAAAAGTCCTAAACTAGAGAATATCAATAAAAAATTTCATTACTTCAATGTGTCTGAAAAATATTATGCACAAGGATTATTTGAACATTTTTTTCAAATCTGAATCATTGTGAAACGGTTAATTTTCAACCGATTATTACAAAACACACGTGAGATAAAAATATTCAAATCTTTTTAGAGCTGAAGTGGCTCGGTGGCGGAATGGTTTAGTACTTCGGTACCTAATTATTGCAATACCGACACAGCGATCATGGGTTCGAGACTGGGTATGGGAAATTTTTCACTTGTTCTTTTTCGAATCATATGTACTGGAAATGAGGCTCACAGCCTTCCTTTGTAGGCTACAGACAGAAATGTCATCAAAGGAGTGGTTCGGATCCCACTATAAATTGTAGGTCTAGGTTTGAGTGCAGTGGTTTGGCGCATCCTCACTCGTTAAACTCTCATTAGCTGCGAATCGCCCTAGCGCACCTCTGGATCACAATTGATCTGAATAGGTAAAGGTTTTTTTTTTTTTTTTTTTTAGATTTTTATTCACGTTATTTAATATTTAATATGATTAATGACAGATATTAATACGAATTTCTTGTTAAAACACTTTAATTAATGATTATTTCCGATAAACTATTTATTTCACAAGAATAATTTCGATTATGTTATAACGGTCAAAGTAAATTTGAAAATAACAAGTTGAGAAAAATTGTATGTAGTTTTTTTTTCAGTTTCGTTTACTCATGGAATTACCCATGATTGAATCAATACGGACTACATTTGAACTCCTTGTAGCTTATAAAATGGTTCCCAAATAAAGCATTTTATTTACCGGGAAAACTTTAATGCAGCTATTATCGAGACACTATTTAATTTGATATATTTATAACGATTATTTTGATCTGTTTCCTTGAAATAAGCATTTTGAGTAATTCAATTGACTTAACTACGACAAAGGAGTTACAACTAGCTCTAGATCACAATATTTTAAACCAACTTACAACTCTAAAACACATCAAATCAATTTTAAGTTCAGAAATAATTGTTTCATCAATTTCTTTAGTGCATCTTAATATATTTCACCTGCAACTTAGCACGAATGCATTTCTGTATCATTTCATCCATAACTTTTGTACTTGTTTCATTCTCTCATTCAATGTTAACATTAAATTAAATTATCGTTTATATAGGCACATACTTTGTTTGGTAATTGAGGTAGAGATAAGGAATTTACTTTAATTGAGTACATTCACATTGCTTGTTTCATAATTTAACTTTACTCAATTTAGAGATAATTGGCAATTGTACAAAATTAAATATTTCAATCCTACCTTAACTTTTGTTTTTGTTTTTTTGCTGTCTGCGAGCTGAATTTTTTCTCTCACTATATTTTAACACAAATTTCACACCAAATCAATGTCCGCACAAGGTTTTATGTCAAGAATCAAATAAACATTAATTAAATTAACAATGTACAATAAATTTTTATGTACTTTTGTTTAAAAGTTTGCTTAAATTCACACAATAATAAATGTAAACAAAAGCACGATAAGAACCTTTGAATTTTCTAGAACCTCACAAATGTCCACGCATACATTCGATTCTCGACTCTTTATTACATGAGTTTAAGGCTGACAATCGATTGATAATAGTATTTTTAAATTGAAAATAATTTCTGCATCCATGCAATGTGCTTATTAAGTAATATTTCACACAACATATAACAATTCATGAGAGAAAAGAAGAATTTTTCATTATAAATTACGGTAATAAAAAATAATTTTTCTTCTTTTTTATCAAGCGAAGAAAATATTTCTCTCATGCCATTTAAAAGGAGCAGTGTTGTTGTTGGACTGAATGGTAAGGATATAAAAGAAGGGACTTGGCCCAGAATCGAGTGCGATTCAAATGCTTTGTGGACGCCCTACGCTTCATAGTGGAGCAATAGAAACCATCATCATCACTTTGTGACAACTTTTGAGTTTCATAAAATAATAATTTTGCATACAACAGTTGTGCGCCATAAAAATATAATGCGCACAACGGTTGTGTTCTATGGCGCTATACCCCTGCGCAACAGTTGCGTGCCATATAAAATCATTGCACACAAAACAGTTGGACGCAATTTAAAAATTATTCACGTGCAATAGTTATGTGCCCTATAAAATTATTTTCTGTACAACAGTTGCGTTTAACGAAAACTTTGTGCGCCATATAAATTTTGTTGCAACTGTTATGCAACAAAAAGTCATTAGATTATTGAGTCTGACTAGGGCATATATATTGTATGTGTCTAAAACCTAGACTTTTGGTTTGCCAACACTGCCAAGGAGCATAAGGAAAATGTTTAAACGGATGATGAAGAAGAAGAAGAACAAAAAATCCCGATAACGTCTGCTGACATTTTTCACAGGAAATTTCATTATTTTCCATTATCGAGATGTTTCTGCTTGAGAAGACTTGACATAATCCAGAAGAGCAGAAGCAGAAATAGTCATCTAAATATATATTTACTATACAACCCAAGGAACGTTATAAAAATTGTGAAAGATTCATGATGTATGCTGTGCTCTTAAATCTCCTTCCTTCTTACTGTCTCACTTTTTGTGCTTACTATCAGCTGAAAAAAATGTCATTTCCAAGTATAAGATAAATGTTGAGAAAAATAAGATGAAGAAACTCGTTCAATTGGCATTCATTTCCTCTGTTCCTCATTTCAGTTGACTTATTAGGGCTTTTTATGTTGCAAAATCAATATTTTTCTAGAATTATTGCGATGTTAAAATTTGTTTTAGGATTGATTGAAGTTCATTGAAGAGAAAGAATTGATCTCAAGGTGAGTTTTAATCTTTAAAGGGTTGTCCAAGCATGGATAGTGCTCTGTCAAGATGGCTATTTCTAGGGTTATTTTAATGGTAAAAAATAAAATTAGAAGCAGTGTCCCGCTTCAGTTGGTTTTAAAAAGCTAATCTTAAGAGTAAGATAAGTATGTAAGTAATAGTAAATTAAAAATTAATTCGAATGATACTTAAAACAGACCAAAGATTTTAAACATTCAAAAACCACAGTGACAAGTTACTGAACAGAGGCGTAGCCAGAATTTTTCTAGGTTAAAGTTAAAATAAGTTTTTTAAAAAAATTTCAATCTCAACGGGGGGGGGGGGGGTTCCCGGGTACCTAAGGGCATCATTCTAGCTACGCCCCTGTTAGCGAATAAAAAATAATTTTATTTAAAATTAATATTTATATCCACAATAAATCTGTAAATCAACAAATAATCCTGAAATTTTTTAAAATCAAATAAAAACACAAAACAACATTTTAATGTATAGTGAAAGAAAAAAACATTTCAAATTTTTATTTAATTCCTTAATTTCTCAATTTTCATTTTCATTTTTTTTTGTTTGCTTATCATTGTTTTAAATTTATTAATTATTTACTTTTATTCAATTATTTTAATTAATTTTTATGTTTTTATTTTATTTACTTCTTTTACTCTTTTTATGTTCATTTCATGTAGTAATTTTTTTAAATCCTTGTTTTTTCATCTAACACAGCCTCATGCTTATGGACAATATATTTCTTTATGTGTTTTTTTTTTCTTTTTTGAGAGTATGTTGTTCCTTATCATGATGCTTGAACCTGTTGAATTAAAATGGTTGAGAAAAGAGAAAGAAAAGAAATGAGTGAAAAAATTGTCTTGTGATAAATTTTCTCTAAGATTATGTGAGGCGACGAAGGGGAGATAAGGGAAAGAAATTGGGTGGATGTTGATGGTGTGTAGGCTAAAGCGCATTTATAAGTCTTTAGATTATTTCGAATTCATTTTAATGTTCTTAGAAAACCTACAGTTACCCTACACTAGGTAAATGTAATTTTTATATACATCTAATCTTTAGCTAGATGGAGCTAGAGTACGCTAAGTACTTTCCCGAACTTAGTAACAACCAACCAAAAATTAAATAAAATTTCTTCTTTTTCCAAAAGACAAACTGCTCATGAATTCAGTCAAACCCCTCAAAACACAAGCCTTTCCGATTAAGAAGAAAGAACAAGGAAGGAAAAAATTCTCTAATGGAAAATTTTCCTTCTTTTACATCTCCCCAAAATAGCAATCCCTCCTCTTAATCTATGTGAGTGCGGATTTAGAGAGAGAAGTTTAAGAGATAAAGAAGGTAAATGGAAAGGAAAGAAATGCGACAAGTAAAATAAAAATCTTACAGCGTGTGAAGAAGAAATTTTCGCTTAAATTTTTCCCGTCCTAACAATTCCAATTATATGTAGGTATATGTCTATATATATATGCATAATTTTACTTCTGTTGTTTTTCTTATTCTCGATCGTCTATATTTACAAACACATAAATAATCTCTAAGAGAAGACAAGCATTTCCGACTGCTGCTGAGATGCTGGCTGTTGTTGTTGTTGTTGCTGATCAATGTATCCCTATGTGGGCGAGAGAGATGAGAGAAAAAGAAGTATAAATAAATTTTATTGAAATTTATGTTATTTTATGAAATTATTTATGTCAACATTTAAAACGTTTCATGTTTCAATTAATAATAATTTTTCATTTTTTTTCTCCTCTATATAAATTCATAGTAGTTGAGTGAAACACTGCTTGTGTATCATAAACAAGCTAATTTGCCAATATATATCAACAACATACAAATTAAATTACAAAATGATGCGATGAATGTATGAAAAAAGCCGTCAAATAAATTGAAAAATAAATATTCGATAAAATATTTATGTATACACACAACACACAAAAGCCCCAGGTGGAAATTGAAATTGTTCTTGTGTACTTTTTGAATTTGGGAGAGCTTAATCGTTGTGCTTCTTTTCGATTGGAGCCAATTAACGATAATTGATTTATTTGGAAGCTTAGAATTGAGGCTGTTTATGGTTGGGTTTGTTTGGCAGATTTATGGACGTTTCGGGAATAATTGTCAAGAGTAATTGAGATATTTTCATAATTTAATTATGATGAATCATAGAAATGAATAAATAGGAAATATTAAAATGTTAGCATATTATTGCAAAATATTTAAACTTTAATTACTGATAAATGTGCAAAGATAGACTTAAAGGACTAAACTATTTGATTTTTGCCAACTTTTTAAAGAGAGTTGAGCCAAAGTTTTTCAATATGACTCAATAATTGCAAGAATTTTCTGCAAAATACTTTTTGAGGTGGACGAAAATTTTACATTAATCGTAAAGTCATTTTTATTTGACGAGCTTTTGAATACCAACGTAACATTTTCAAAAGGAAAGGATTTCAATTAAACGGTTCATAAAGTTCTCAAAAACTTAAGAATTAATTTTTAATTAATTTCTCAAATGCACTCAACATTTGAATGTAAAAACACGTATATGCAATGTGCACTTGTGCGTCAAAATAATAAAGCAAACCCTTCATCAACATCAAATAAAATCTTGTACATCCAACAAACCAAAATAATTAATCTCAAAACTCTCGCTATCTGAAAAGGATAATTTCCAAGTATTCCCACCTGGGTTTATTATTTTAACACAAGTCGCAAAAAATTTTATTTATTTTTATTTATTATATTTTTATTTTTTTACTCAGTCATGTTATACTTTGCTTATACATGAAAAAAATAAAATGAAAATTAACAACAGAAAAATGTGAAGTGAAAAAATCAACTCAATGTTAAGCCATAAAGCATTTTTGTGTGCACACATTTTTTTGTGCTTTCATTCATGCCACAAATTCATTGAAAAAAAATATATGTACAAAAAAAAAGTATTTTTCACACTCCAACTCTCAAAAGAGGAGTAAATGAGTGTGGCATGATGTTTGGCGTACGCTTAAGGGAAATAAGTTTGAAACTGTCGAAAGTTTGCAGCGCTTTTGTAATTTATATTTGCAGATTTATTGAAATTTTATTAAAATGTTTTTCATCAAAATTTTCAAATTTATCGTAATTTATATTTTCATACCTGGGGCTGGTTTCTCAGGTATACATGGGGAATACCCTCGAGGATACTCCTGATAAATAAAATAAATATATATTAAAAAAAGGAAGTGAAATTAAAATATCAAGGGTATCCTCTAGGATATACCCTAGAATTCATGCTCTCAAAAAAAAACTACAAACTGCAGAATTTGCATTCTAACCCAAAAATAAAATTGATATAAAACTTTTACATAAAAATATGCTGTGCGAATAAGCTTTTCCCATTTTATATATTTTTATTTAAAAAACACTTTTTATTCATCTCACCTGTTGATTAATATATTGTTGCGGACCTGGTTGTTGTTGTTGTTGTTGCTGTTGCTGCATATTCATCATTCCATTCATTCCATTAAGCGGTGGAGGTTGCATCATATTTGGATTCATTGGATAAAGTAATGGCTGTGAAATTTTGAGAAATTAATTTTACATTTCTAAGTTTTGGCGTCATAATAAACTTTTACCTGTTGAGGTGATCCATAAGGTGAGGGTGTATGTGAATAAGGATGTGGTGCTGGTTGATAATTGTGCATTGGCTGTGGTACATAACTCTGCGGTGGCATCTGATGATGCTGACCTGGACTCATGCGATGAGGTCCATTCGGTGGCATAGATTGTTGCATATGCTGTGATGATGGTGGTGGTGGTTGATTTTGAATCTTATGTGTATTTTGTGTTGATACCGTAACATTCTTCTGCTGAAGTTGTTGATGTGGTGGAGATTGTGACTCCGATTCAGTGCCCTGTTAAACACACGATGGATGGAACAAAAACAAGTTAATCAAAATTGATGTTGGCAAATTAATTAATGTAAGCAAGCAGGAGAATAGAACGAAGAAACACAAAAGGTTTTATTTTTATTTCAGCAATAAAGTCAATAATAAATTTGGCCATGTCAGCAATCGGATTTCGGCAATTTATCTCACACTCTTGTTACTGCTCATTCTACTATGATTTTTATTTTGTGACTAGAATTTTAGATGCGAATGTGATGGTTTAAGTCACTTTTTCAAGATCTTGAGAATATTTATTAGCCTTTGCAATTTTTTAAATTTGAAGCATTTTTAATTTTGAAGTTATGAAAAAATTCTTGCCATCTTGTTAAGGGACATTTGTGAATAAAGCTGCAAATATGATTTAAAACTACGAAAATTTCGCCAAAACAAAATTCGAGGTGGATGGTTTTTAAAATCATAATTGACTCTAGATTTATTTGTTTATCTGATTTCAAAACTTAAATTCTTTGAAGAGTTCTTAAATTTGAATCACTTTTGACTTTACAATGTTCATAATAATCCAAATATGCGTCTTAAACCAACACTACTTTGATTATCTTGACTAGTTATTTTTATATATTTGCATGTTGTAAATATTCCACCCAATTTGATTCAACTCCACCTCTCTTCATTTAGTAAATTGTATGTATGTATGCTTGACAGTGAAATTAATACCCCTCCGCGCCGAAAAAAAGCAGAATAACAACAGCAAGAGTAATTAATTGCCGCCTTAATGAAATAATGACTTGTTTTACTCAACTTGTCATGATTTTTTGCTGTGCTATGCTGTTTACATTTATTGTAAACGATAAAAATATCCCCAAACCAAACCTTTTCTGGTGGGTGATCAAATGCCTAGATGTATTGACAGTAATAGATTTTTCGAAAAAAAGGCTAATGTAATTCAATATCCGAAAATGATAACAAATCAAGTTTTGCTTTTTAGTAAAAAAAAATAATTCTTTAGTGTTAGTGAAAGTTATAGGAAAATTAATTAAAATATTTCTTCTTACTGTTCCAAACTTTTTAACAGAATTCAATTATTTTTTTTCCGTATTTCACACTAAAAAGAATTATCCATAGTAGATTTTTTGTTGATAAAAAGTTTTAAATGTCATGGAATGTAAATAATTCTAGGAATGCTGAAACTTAATCTCAAAAGATAACAAAATGAGTGAATAGAATTAAAAGTTTCTCCTCGAGACACGGAATTATGAATAATTGTGAAATTAATTTTTAAATTGAATTATTTTGTGAAATTTTTGGCATTTAATGAGCTGAAATAATAATAGTAAATATTAAGATTGTTAGGGGAGTAGCAATAAATGGCTAAAAGCGTCAGATTTCAGAATTGAACTAAAGCAAAAATATCAGATTAATATTTTAAAAACAAAATAATTACTTTTACAATAATTTAAATAATAATTAAGTAATTGACGTTTGTTTTTAAAAAAAACTGTATTAATGTGCTTACTATTTCACCATAAATAAAAATGCAAAACAAGTTTATTAATCTTATTAAAACTTGCTTTCTTATTATGAATTACACAGAATCTAATATTATTTTAAATTCTAATTATTTAGAATTTCATAATTATGCAGAATATGAAAATATTAATCCTTTAGTTTATAAAAGGAACTTTAAATTCCTTGGAAATGATTTTAATTTATATTGTGGTGAAATAATAATAGTTTTTGATAAGATATTAATAGATAAGAAAATATTAATCCTTTAGTTTATAAAAGGAACTTTAAATTCCTTGGAAATGATTTTAATTTATATTGTCGTGAAATAATAATAGTTTTTGATATGAAAATGTTTATTTTATTTTATAGGCCTTGACAATTGATTTGAATTTTAATTAAGACAATTGAGAAGCCCCAATTAGTTAATTTAAAATAAATAGTCAAACTTTAGTTTTGTAAAATATTCACTTTAATTAAGGCGATAACAATCTTCTTCTAAGAAAACAATAAGCGCCTCATTCTCAGTGTTGAAAGCATGATTCATAGATTAGTAAACTATTTAATTAATGTCGCATAAATTTCAAAATTTTGATTCTTTGAATAATTATTTTCGTATTTATTGAAATTTAATGCAATTTCCAATTAGATTTTCAAACGAAATTGTTATTTGAATTTCCGAAATTTTCTTTTTCATTTGTCTCTCTACAACAGTCAAGTCATAGCAATAAATCTGACAGCTCCAAAAAATTTAGAAATTTAAATTTTCCACTCAAAAACAGATCAGAATAGAAAGTCATTAAGTTTCTCTTCCTTATTTCAAGAATGCCATTTAAGCACTCAATTAAGTTCAAAAATCTCATAAAAATTCCTTGAATTTCATTAAATATTCTAATTGTATAAAATTTCTAATAAAAACAAAAATCAATTTAAAATGAAAATTTGAATTTCAAACATAATCAAGAGAGTGAAACGCAGAGTAGAACAAAAAGAAGAAAGGAAAATTTCATCATCGTTGCGCGTTCAAGAAAACTTTTTTTCTGTTCTTTTTCTCTCATTTTTTTTAAATTAATTCTTAAGAAAATTTCCTGTTAATTTAAAATTTTCACAATCAGCGCTCAATTTACATTTCTCATAGAAAATGAAAGAGATTTTTTTTTGAAAGCTAGAAAATTCAATTGTCGTGGCGGAGTGGAAATTTTCTTTCATCATCATCATCATGATCAAATGGAACTGTGGGAGCAAGTCATGGATGATTTTGATTTAATTAAAAATAGCGCATTGTTTGTTGATAAGACATTTGAGGAAGTGTTCATAAATTACCACAGAAAGTCTATAGAAATTTTATTTTAATTGAGGATTTTTCGCAAGTGCTTCCTTTCAAACAATTTGATTAACTGATCCTTTTGCTCTTTATTACAAATGCGGCTTAATTTATTAATTTCAGCATTTGACATGTTTCACTATCAATTAATTTTAAGTGGGATAAATGATATCCAACACAAGAGGAAACAGGTAGGGAAGTGGGTTAAACAGTTTCAGATTATCGAAGGCTTTTTAACATTTGCAGTCTTTGTCCATGTTTTGTGACTATAACATTTATTTACAGCCGGTACTTCTGATGATACCGGATTAGAGCTAAGTTGAAAATCTACAATTAATAAACATAAATGCCCGAACAAAACTCTAGACCAATGGCACCAAAATCATTTTAAATATTGAATAATCTTTAAATTTACAAAACTTCTCAAATCTCGAGAAAAACGCGCTTAAAAAACAAAAGAAAAGCCTTAAAACAAAACCCTAATTGCTTTCAACATAAAACTTTGAAAATTTCTATTCTCCCTCTATTCCTCCCATCCCCAAAAACTACAGCATTTGAAAAAAATATATTTTTCGTTATCTCAAAATGAAAATTTTTGCTTTCCCGTCCCTGTTTTTCACATTCTCATTCCCCAAAAATTCTTTGTTAGTTTTACTCATTCTCCTCATTCCCGGCGGAAGGAATTTTTCATCCACCATATATGAGGAGTTGCTCCTCGTGCTCCCCATCACATCAGCATTCCCTTCCTCGAGAGTATTTACACGACATTAGAAACTGCGCCGAATCCAGAATCAGAAACCCGAAAAAAAGACGGCACTAGGAGAGAAATTTTAGAAAATAGAGATTTTTTTTTTCAGAAAATTCGCTCCTTGTGTGTATGTCGATGAGACCTTGCGGCAACTTTTATAAAATGAAATGAAAAAAAAAATCTTTTTTGGATGGAAGAAAATTTTCAATATAATTTCCGCTGACTGGCAAGAATGTCAAATGAGACTCGCACTAAAGAAAAATTTCTCAAAAAGAGGAAAAAATTTTAAGGCCAGGAGGAAGTAAAATAGTAAGCAGTAACGATGATATGACAAACTTTGTTAATTTCTTGCTGACTATTCACAAAATAATAAAATCGTTGATCATATTTCTAACAAGCTGGCACAATCTTCAGCCTGTCTTCTTCGTGGTTTATTTTTCTGCTTACTTACAAGATTTTTTTATGAATTTAAAATGGAAATCCTTACCTGTGACACTAAGCTTGCACGATAAGCTGCCAAAGCTTTTAGATACTCCTTCTTTGCTACTTCCGTTCGCTTTTTATAAACCTGCAAGAAAAGGGATAAAAATGTGATAATTAATGCGATTATTTTGATTAGTTTTTGTGACTAATTTGGGACTCTTTTTTTTTTGAGGATTTGTCAGATTTGTTGCTGTTGAGGGTTTGATAAAAGTCAGGACTATCTCTTTTACTCGGGAATCTAAAAAATCGTGTATGGTCTCGGTGCTATCATTTCGAGATTACCAAGGGTACATACTCCATCAATTATTACTTACATCCTAGCGCCAAAACATGAAAGAAAAAAAAAAACGAAAAAAATCTATTAAAACTGCTCAAAAATCTACAAACTCAATTCTAAGTTTCTCAATTCTAGTGATATTAAAATGACTTTATTTATGATTCATTTGAACCCAATAGAATGAAATATTCTCATTATTTATTGCCTTCCTGAAACTATTCGTCAACTTTTTAATTAAAACTTTTCCATTTTCCTCCATAAATCATTGAAATGTTTTGTTTTTGAAAATTTATATTTCAATTTATTATCTTTAATTTATGTTTCATTTCATCTGATGGGAGGTAAAATATGAGAAATAAAAAAATAATACGATTTTAATTCCTTTACGATGTTTTAATATTGCTGGTATTAATCGCACTTTAAATCATCAAAATTATTATCAAAAAATTTCTTGCTTCGTTTATTGCTAATTTTTTTAAAATAAATTATTAATAAAAATGAGAATATTCTTTCAACACAACATACAACACATTAATAATAATATAAAATTATTATTTAAAAAGCGGTAAGTAAGGAAATGTCGAATGAAAAATGTGATTAACGTGCTTATACTGATGCTTGAAAAGAAACAGTTTTATTTTAAATTTTTAATAGTTTTGAGATTCGAACTCTTACAATATGGTTAAGATTTAGCTTAATCTATTAAGCATATTATTGTACTTTAATAAACAAGATCAATTTTGCGTATTTTAAACTAAAGCTAGAAATTGATTGAGTGGATTTAAATTCTCTAAAGGGGAGCTGTCAAAGCCAGCACCATGCGACAATCACACCGGCTTGGTCCCAGATTCGTGATCGATTAACCGACTTGTGTCGGTGTTTTTTGACGGATGTTTTTGCTGAATAAGTTATTTCATATTAAACGCAATTTTCAATTAAACAATTTATTTTTTTTGATCAACAGTCAAACAGACCCCAAAAACCACAGTTTCTTCAAAAAAGTTTGTTTGAAAAACAAATTAAATTTTTTTTGTTCACAATTCACCGATCATCGTGCGCTGGAGAAAATAAGTGAGCGAGAGAGAGAAAAAAAGCAAAGTAAAATAAAATTATGATTAAGAGCTAGCAGGTGCAGTCCAGGATGAATAAATAACATTTCATAACTTTTTATTTTCTCTTTTTTTCATTCTTTCTCTCTCACTTCCACCTATTGCCTGGTGAATTGCTGAAGAAACAAAGTCGTTGGTGTTTGTTTTGGAAAACAAAATTAATAAACAACACGTTTTATAGCTTCATAGGAAAATGGAGCCATTTTTATATACCATTTGGTTGTTTATTTTCCTTTTTTTTTTCATCCATGAGGAAAATATTGGAGATGGAAAAATATTATTAATAATTTTTTTGTTGTTTTTATACACACAACATTCTCCAATTTTCGAAAAAATAATCTCCGATTTAACATCCATAATTAATTGTAAAAAGAGATTTAAAGCACCTGCTGGACGATCTATATTTATATCTGTTACTAAAGATAATATTTTTTTTTACAGAATAAATGGATTGGATGCAGCATTTGGCTGGACAAAATTAGAAAAGAGAAAAAATTTCCTGCTAGAGATTTTAAATCGATTATTTTAGATTATTCTATCATTTTTAACTGCTAATGTGGGTGTGGGATTTTATGTAAGGTGGGAAATCTAGTCAGCTGTTTGAGGTTTTTGTTGAGATAGAGGCTAAGAACTTTAATGGGTTCTATTCAAACCCCCCTCTAATGCTAAGTGCTAAAATCCTCATCGAGGGCAGGGTAAAGGGTTTTCAGAAATCTATAAATTAGTTTTTAATCTGAAAACTCTATAAATAAAGCTCATCTTCAACAATTCTCAATGCTTAACCCCCCAAAAATCTTGTATATACATGCATCCATTAAATGAGCTAGTATATAAGTGTTTCAAGAGTTTATACATCACTAAATCATAAAAACAAGTATGCTAAAAAACATTTCTTTGATCGCAGTTCAGAGGGCAGCATTCAAAATGTTTTGATTAGAATTTAAATTATGAGTGTATCGCATTTTGTTTTAATGCTTACAACTGTTGGATATTAGTTATGTTTCCATTAGTAAAATATGACAGAAAGAAATTAAGAAATGATAATTAAATGAGACATTTTAGAATGTTCAATGTGTTGAAATTTCAAAAATTTCAATTCCATTCGAGAAAAATTAATTTGGAAAGCAAACTTTTCCTTTTTGTACAATTTAGCGACCATATTATATAATATATTGACTAAACCTAACCGCAATTAATTTTAATTTGACTTACAAAACTTTTGTCGAGCAGAAAAATTACCACAAATTTTCTCGACTTGAAATAACTATTTTACAGAAAGAAATTTACCATCCATGCTTGTCACATAAAAAACCTCATCATGAAGATAAAGTTGAAGTCACACAAAAAAATTAATTTTCTGTGTCATATAAAATGAGCACCACTGCAACCCCTTTAACCATCGTGCAAATTTAAATTTTCTTTAAATTAAAATAGATGAAAATTGTCAATGATCTGAACATATAAAATGATATGCAAAAATTAATCGTCATTTCCAATGCACTGTTGATAAGACTCTTGTTGAATTTTCACATATGGAAAATTTTCCATCGCCCCAATTGCTTCTTCTTCCTTTTTTTCTGAATTTTCTATGTCATTAAAACTTGAAATGTAATTTCATTTCAATTTTCCCATTCCTATACCCAAAATGACACCCACAGCCACCCATTGCAAGAAGAAGTTGGTGGTTGAGTGAGAGAAATGTCACGATGATGGAAGCAATGGCAGCAACAGCACAAAAATAAGAAAAAAAAAACTATTTTTTCAATTCAATAAAATGTCAGCAATCGTAATGGTTGATGGAATGAATTTGACATGGTTCAAGGGATACAAGTTGGAATATATTGGTTGTGATAGATAATTTTGGTGTTGCAGTGTGACATTTTTTTTAAAATTTAGACACAAATGACTTTAGTTTTGGAACTAGTTATGTCGAATTGTATCTCAATAAACCCAATTATCCCTCCCATCAAATCAGCAACAAAATCATTTTCCTCAAACTACATCCTCACTAAGAATTCGTCCCACAAAACCTCTTTAACTTAAAACTTACATTTTTATGATCGGGTGCCAGCACGTCCCACATAGATGCGACAATTTTTGAAACCTCACCGAACGATGCATTTGGATTCTGTCCTTTAATTGAGGCTTGAGTGTCACGGAAAAATAGAGCATATGCTGATACAGGTCTGTAAAGAATAAGAAAATAAAAAATAAAATTAATTAAATTTTTTTAATTTAATTTATCACCGTAATCATCATAAATGATAATGATGATCTGCATTATCTTAATGTCATATTATTATTAACGCATGTAAATTGTTGAAAATGAGAAAAAGAAGTAAAAGATGTAAAGCAACAGCAGTCGATAATTGGCAAAAATTATTTTCAAATTTGTATTCCATTAACGTCTTCAAATGAAGCAAATTAACATTTTCATAATTTTTTTAGCTTGTTTTCTGTAGTTTTGAGTAAAAGAACAAAAGAGTTTGGCGAGGGTAAGTTTACAAGTTACGTAACGTATTAAAAAGGGAGGTAAGACTGAATTTTGCGCCAATTAAAAAAAAATATGGTTTCATCGATTTTATCAATAATAATTTAATTAATTAAAATGAGAATTAAACTCAAAATGTTATCAACCTTTTATCAAATGACAATTTTCTTTACAAAAATATTTTAACAAAAGCACCTTCCTATGCATCAATATTTACCCTCAGTTAAAAAAATGCGCTCAATCCCAACCAAACTCCAAAACATCCACAACCAATCCATTTTTGTTCCCATTTTGCATTTACCTCAAGGCAAAAAGCATTTCCCCATCGTACCTCTCCCAGTCTCATTACCATCATCATCATCATCTTTAATATTTATACATGTTCACGTACACACACAAATAGTTATCATACAACTAATACTGGGTAATAACAATAATATTCTTAAGTTAAGTAATAGTAAAGACATTGAAAGGCGACGCAAGTATGCGAGATAATAAAAGAAACTCTCTCAATTTTCCTCAAATTGTTTACTATTTCCATTCTAATGGGAGCATCGGATAAGAACAATAAGAAAGAGAGTGAAAAATCAGCAAAGAAGCACGTATTGATGCTGAATTGTTTATCAAAAAATATACACAAATATTTTTTTTTCACTTGCATCGAATGAAAGTTCTAAAAAAGTTTTTGAAACTTAAGTAAAATGGAAGTTTTTGAGGAAGATAAGGCATGTTTACTAAAGAATGCTAAGAGTGATAACTCATGGATGATTGGTATTGATGATATGAGTTGTGTTTTGTGTCATGTTTTTATTCATAAATTATGTGTATGGGACATGATCGTAAATTATGAAATGGATAAAGTTTGAGTGTTGTTTTCGATAAACTTGAAGAAGATTGACGTTTGGCTGTATTGTAGGATTTATAGTGATGAGAACAAGTTAAGTATATTATTTGTTATTAGATCATTGATTTTTTTTCATTCGTGATTACAAAATGCTACCTCCTGAAGTACATTTTAGCCTGTCCCTATGTTTACAGTACGAATTTAGTAGACTAAGATTAAACAATTAATAAGATTGAGTCTAGTTTTGGTTAAAATATTTGATTAGGAATCATAAAAATAGCTCTGATTTCTGAACTCTATTGCATTTACAGTATGCCAAGATAAGGACCCTTATTTCTCTAGTGAAGATAAGCCATTGGATCTTTGACAAAATTTATTTAAGTTAATCGAGAGTCAAAAAATGTTCAAAAACAATTCAAGTTACCACCCCAAAGGCAACAGCAATCTCTTCATAAAACACAGTAAATTCCAAACTTTTAAATATTTCATTTTACATCAAGTCAAAGTAGATACAAAATTTATTGATTTTTCATCGTGCTCCCATTCTCCATCGTTGAAAAGTTTTGGAATTTAGTTAAAGAATGAAAGAACGAGATATGGTGGGGTTGTCTTGTAGTTGGTGGTAAATAATCTCAAATGATAACTTTTCCACCATACTTCTTATATTTCTTGTTACTTCTAAACAAGACACAGAGTGATTAAACTTTTTCAATCAAAAGATTGTGAAGTAGATTTTTTTTTCTCTTGTTTTGCGGGTAAATGAAAAGTTTTTTAGTTTTGCTTCTTTTTTCAATCAAGATTTGAAATTATATTTTTTTACAAGGCAACACATTCACGGAAAATAATAGAAAAAAGGAAACTAGGAAAAGGGAAGAAAGTAATTTGGAAATGGCTCTTCTTAATCCTCCCCACATGCCCATCTTATTTCATTTATCTCATTCACATGCAATCATAAAAATGAGAAAATCAACAAAAGTAGCAATTGTGGAGAGTCAGATGATATGGAAAATACGGAATAATGTCTGTATGTTCACAGAACTAAGGCGCATTTTTCTAGCTCAGAATCCATGGAAAATTTAAAAATAATCATATTTTGTCAAAGCGGTGATCCAATCTTCAGAAAAAAATGATAGGGACAGGAAATATATTAAGTTTAACCTTTCTTTTTACACCGAAACTAGTTTAATACGCCATTCCAGTCAAAAAAAAAAATCAACCTACTGACAGACGGACGGAAAGAACACTAACACTAGCGACTTTTCAATCTTATAAATGCACGAAAAAAAAACAAATGAAAATTGTTTTTATCTTATTTCTTATTTTAAGGCACACAAATTTGCCACACAAGTATAAAAACAACAACAATTTGTAAGCAATTCCGCATAACGAGGCCAAAAGAGGAAGAAAAAAATATGGAAAATTGTTATTTTCTTATCATCGCCTCGTACAAATTGAATTTGAATTAAACATAAGCAGCTGGAGCCCCAAAAAAACTAAACAGCAAAAAGCTATTTCTAGGGGTCGTCTTTGATGTTGTGAATTTCTATAAAAGGAAGATTTTTTCATGCTCATCGAAAAGGATTCTCCCTCAATTGCCATTTTCCCAAGGAATTTAATACTTTTTTTTATCAATTTAAAAATTATATTTGATTTTCCCAATTTTCTTCTTTTATCCTATGTTATTGTGTATTCTATAGTGGCACTTTAAAGGCACAAAAAAAAGAAGAGAAAGCGACACCCCGCAAAAATGAACCTTTCCAATTAGTTTGTTTAGCAATTTCCTCTCGGATTTTCCCAATTTTCCTTTTCATTTTAAGAGACTATAGGAAGGAGATGAAAAAGGACAACAGTCACTTTGAAGGAGAGAAAATTAGATTCCTTTAGTCCCCTTTTATGCTTCTCGATTTAAAGATTTTTTTTATTTCTGTTTTGTTTTGTGTAATTTAAGGTTTTTGAATGATTTTAGAGTTGTAGATTTGTCTGACTAGGTTGGCTAGATTAATTTGGAAATTAGGTTCTCTTTCGTTTGAGCTAGCTTTGTGTGAGGAAATTGAAGATTCTTTGGGCTTAAATTAGAGTAGAAAATAAAATCTACACTCTTATTTTTTAACGGAAGGACCAAGTTTGAAGGGCTTGTCTTATTGACTACGGTTGTTGTATTGAAGGAGAGAGTGACATTTGGTGAGAACCGAACCAACGTTCTCACAAAAGCTCAATTCATAAATTGCAAGGTAAGATACCTAACCATTCAACCAAAGTGATCTTACTTTTACAACTGCAGATTCGCTTATTTATATTTACACTTCTTAGAATTCATGAATTCATGCCAAGACAATAACTCAAGAACAAAAGAACTTTCAGATTTTCAAATAAAAAAAATACGACACGAGGCTGTTCTTTTTTTAACAAAAATTCATCCACCTTATTATTAATAAATGCGTAAATACCTTTTTACACCCAATTACTTTCTTACTGACTTCCCACGTCAGATTCACAGGCTTTGTCTCTTCGATCTTCTTTTTCACCCCCAAAAAAAAGGGAGGGCAAAAAAAAAATAAATCTTTGTAGTCAAATTCATAACGACAAAAAAAAGGAATCTCCTTTTTTATGCGAATGAAAGCAGAAAAAAGGGATATTCGTGCGACCTGTTGAGAACTTTTCAAATTATCCCTAATTTATTTTCATTTCTTACACAAAATCACTTACGTTGAGAGAAAAAAAAAAGATTAAGGAGGAAGTTTTTCTTCTTCTCAATCCACAGACTTAATACAGACAAAAGCATTATGAATCGACATAACAAGCAATTTGTAGGGAAAGCAAAAAAAAACTTACTTTTGTGGCTCATTTGGATCCTTTTTCTTCTTCTTTTTCGATGTCTTCGGCTTACGTGCTGGAGCTGCTTTAGCCTTCATTGTACTGTTATTGCGATTTGGTGAATCATTTCCAATGTAAGGGTCTGGTGATGGACGTTTGAATGTATTGGCCTGTGGAGAGAGATAAGAAAGAGAAAAATAATGAGATACTTTATGGTTGATTATTAAGGCTAATTATGCTAAGTGTGAGATTTAGAAAATTGATACGAGTCACGCAATTTACACTTGTTTGTGATGATCAGGTGGGATGGGATGTTGTGTGTGTCATTAGCTTTTATGGCTTGACTTTATTCGACTTTTCTTGATTTTCAAGAAAACTCTAGATTTATTTATAGCTCACAATCAGTATCTGCCGCGTAATCAGCAAACATTATCTATAATTATTATATCGTTAATTTCCCACATAATATCCAGTTTTACTTAACCTTTCCCATTTTTATCGCAAAGTTTCAATAAAAAAAATAATTGCATTTCATAATTCGTTTGGCAAGATTGTATGTTACAATTATTTATGTATTAAAACAAATAGTATAACCTGTTATAGTCGCGTACATGACAACTTTCATAATACTCTAATAAAAATATACAGCATTTCATAATGAAAAATCGATAAATTTTTTGACTTTTATCGCATTTTATTTTTCCTTCCTTTTTCATTCTGTCTTTGTCTCTATTATTTCCTTCTTTCTCACTCGCGTCCCCGTATTCGCTCCTTCCATAAGTCAGCAGAAAAAAAAAATTTCCGATCACATCACGGTTACAATATCGAAAGGAAAAAAGCAATTTAAAATGGCAAAAACTGTCATAAATCATAATAAAAGCAATAAATTTTCATTTCACTGCACGTTTACAGCATAAAAATTGTATAAATCTTCAGTCAGCTAGCGAGCAGCTCCAGCAGAAAGAAATTTTTTTCCTCTCGCTCTCTTTTCTGTGATTCAATTTTTTTTATGATGAATTTATACTTTTTTTTGTTTCATTTTTAATTCAATTAAATCAAATATTGCAATGTCTGATAATTTTAGGTTCCGTTCATTGTTTTTTTTGTGCCTTTCGATATATATATATATTTTATTATAAATAATTCAAATGAATACATTTAAACATGTAGGTATTTGATTTATGAAATAATGATAGCAAAAAAATTGAGTCAATGATTGCAAAAGTCATTTAACGGATGTGATAATAGCGCATTATTTACAGGAAATAAAATCACATAGAATGGAGATATTTTAATTAATGTGTTGAGAAAACTTTTTGTATGCGAATTGTTGGAGTTTTGATGGTTTTCCTGTTTCCTGATCAATTGATTCTTGTTGGATGAGAATTTTCGAAACGCTCTGTTTTGATTTCAGAATGGAATTTCCAAATGTTATTCTGGATTCCGATTAATACACAATTCAAAGATTTATAAGGACTTGGGCTTCTTTCAGGTAAGATACCCGTGTCAAAGCTACAATTATCAATGAAGAGGGTTCAAAAATCCAGCAATGAAACTTATTAATCCTAGTTTATCACCCTAACCCATTCTTTTGATTAAAGTTATAATAAACAGCTCCCTTGAATACCCAAAAGCAACCTTATGGAAGTGGGATACTCAAAAAAAACCCTTAAAACCCAAGAGCCATGTGCATAGCACCCCAAAATGCATACTTAATCTCATTATTTCCCCACATGTAGAAAAACAATTGGAATAGTAAAGGTCCTTTAATTTAAATACGGACCATAATAAATATATTAATAATAATAATTATTTCCCCACTACATTTGCACTTAACAAAAAATAAATTTATATAAAACTAATATAAACAACAGAAAAGAAAATGAATGGAAGAGCATAGCTAGTTGTATTTATCTTTAACATTTAAATCTTTTTTTGGCATTGATATGAAACCTTTCAATATTCAACAGCACAAAAATATTTTTTCGATGTCTCATTTAAGCCCTTGCTGATGAACACATGTCTGTGACACAACGATAAATCGACGCACACATTAAAAAACTATAACTAATCCAATTAATTAAATTGGAAATAAAATAATTCACAAGAGTAGGGTTTCTGAAAAACGGCATTTTCGAAAACGGCCGTTTTCCGTTTTTTATTTTCAATAACGGCCGTTAACGGTCCGTTTTAAGTTTTTTAAATAACCAAATATAAATGAAATATTCCTCAAAAGATAAAGAATTGCTGTGCTATATGGGCAATTCCACATTTTTGTGAGCGTTGGTATATTACACAATGTTGAATTATGAATATGAAAGCAGAAATTTACCACTTTTAAGACACTTAGACAACTATTAATGTTGTCTTTATTGTCAATGTTCTTTCTATCCTCTTCTATGATTCTGCATACTTAAATTGACTTGAAAGACACTCAATAGACAGAAAAATGAATAATTTTAATGCAATTAATGTAATATACCAACGCTGAAGCCAAATCCATGAGGAAATAATTTTTAAAAAAACCAATTTTTACTTTAATTAACAATAATTTTAAAGAACCTTGTTTTTAAAAGTTTAATAGTCAATGAAGATCTTTAACTCATTTTAAAAAGTGTAAGCTTAATTAAAGTTTATTTTTGAAGCAATCAAAGTTTTAAAGAACATGGATCCAAAATTTATTTTTTTCGAAATTCAACTCATCCGTGGAATTTCAAAAAATGGATAATAGATAGATTTCTATTTATATTTATTATAACCGTTATTCATTTTATTATAATAAAACTTAAGAAAAACAAGAGCATTTAGTGATGCATCAGCCAGCCTTGAACGAATCTTTGTGCAAAAATTATTGCAGATTGAAAATATTCGCTCTACATCTGTAGATGTCGGCTTAATACACAGAGATGAGATTTTCAAACTTTCCAGGCAATCCATAATAATAAATCTCAATTGCAGAAACTTTTAACTGTTTTTGAAAATAATTTTTAAAGGAAATAAACAAAAAATTTTTTAAAAATTACATTGTATGAATGTGAGAAAACGGAAAAACGGAATGAAAAACGGTCGTTTTCCGTTTTCAATTTTTGTACCGTTAACGGCCGTTTTCCGTTTTTCGTTAACGGCTTCAGAAACCCTACACAAGAGCGAAATTGACGGAAAGCAAAAGACAACAGAAAGAAGGGGAAATAAAGGTCAAATAAGTCAAATTCATTCATTGTCATGAGTCTCAAGGTTCTCTGTGAATACACTTTTTATAATTCTTTTTCTCTTTCTTATGTTTTTTTGTTGCAATTTTTCATGCAATGCTGTATTTAGACACGGAATCGTAAATCAATTGCATAATAACATAAGTTTAAGTTTAGTACTGCAATATACTGCAATACACGGTGTATTGTAGTAAACAAAATTGAAAATGTGGAGGCAATATTTGCATAATATTCTTCCTGCATATTGTTTATTCAGTTGGAAAAGTGCACTCATCGATAAACATCTAAGAATGTACCAGCTTTTTTTTTTGGATTAATAAAAGAAGAGATAAATAACAGCATCGCATGAACTATAAAGCCGTGGATTGATATCTCTATGTATGTAGTTAAATATTTGTTAGAGAATGACTTGAGGATTAATTGTTATTGTCATTTCCTTGACATACTTTTTTTAAAATAATTTATCGACAAAAGAATGTAATGTAGTGAGAGAAGAGGATGGATATAGAGGAAAAAAAATATTAAAATCATTTTGATTGCAGTGCTTTGGGGCTGTTCACTTATTACGTAACGCGAAAAAATGACTTTTTAGAACCCCCCCCCCCCCTCGTAACAAAATTTGTATGAAAAAAAAATTTCCTTGTTTGAACCGTAACAAAATCTTAGACCCCCCTCCCCCCTATAAGCGTTACGTAATAAGTGAATGACCCCTTTGTTGAAATATTTTTAATTCTTTGGGGTTCTAATGTTCCGTAAATTATGCTTTCGAATTTCGGGGCAGATCCCAAGTTTAATTTGGAAAGGTTTAGATTAAATATTCTGGTATCTTCACATTAGAGCTTTATGTTCAGGTTCCTGAACTATGTGCCATAATTTTTTTTTTGCAAATGACACGAGTCTCATGCTGTTTGCTACTTCGGTCATGGCGTACCTCTAAGGTGTGCCGTAGGTAAAAAAGTTTGGACAACACTGCTCTAAAGTTTTGCATTTATGTATCTTTTTATAAGAGGTGCCTCTACACTGTCATTATATGATCAAAGATGTTGAAATCAGAACTAGGTTTGTACCACGTACCCCCTAAAATCCTATATTCCTCACTCTACCATAATAAGTCGAACATCGAAAAGCATTTATTCATTCATCCATTCATTCATCTAACTATCTATCGATCTCTGTCTATTTAGTTCTTCTATTTCTTCACTCGACTATTTTTTCTTTGCTTACTCACTAATCTATCTTCAATTGTGAGAAACAAGAATTGTGTCTTGTTAGTGTCAATTAGTGGATTTAATCAGCTTTGATAGATTCTTGTATGCTCGATATATGTATATACTATTTTTGTATTTTCTAGATCAATAAAGAGTGAAATATTTATTCAGTAGAGATAGAACGAGGTTCATGGTGGAATAAATGGGACTGCATAAAAAGTAGTTGATTGAAATTCAATGCAATTTTAATGGAGATGTTGAGGAGAATAAAATTATTTTTTCTTTATGGAATTTGCTAACGTTTCGGGCTGACGGCGACGATGATTTTGATTTTTAAACAGCGATAAAAGGAAAAATGGAGAGAAATATTTCATAATTTGTAGCACATGCATTCTAATCATTTACGCTTGTAATGATGTTATTCACACATTTTCTACTTCCTTGTTATTCTTCGTGCAGTAAATCCATAAAAAGACGAGAATAATAGGTGAAAAAGTCGTCATAAATTGAGATTTTGAACTAGCGCTGTTTTTGCGGGAAGGAAATTGCGATGCAGGACATGCATTTGAGACAAGTTTTATAAAGTTGTAAATGTAAATTCAGGAATCAGGTATGAGATTAAGCCCAACAAATTATATATATTATGCCAATAGTGACCTTATCCAGTTATCCTCTTAATAAGACAACAATTTATAATTTAGACACCAATTAAATCCCATACATGACATCTTAAGACCAAACAAGTTTAAGTCAGCTTCTAGGAAACAAATCATATCCACAAAGTCAAAACCGACTCACCTTCGGGAAAAATCACGTTAAAATCAGAACAAATAAACAAACAAAAAAAAACATTAATACACGAATCGCATAAATCTCCAACTGTCAACACATAAAGCATTCAGCATTCATATACAAAATCCATGTTCACATGACATAAAGCTATCAAAGTGGCATAAATCAAGCACACGAGAGAGAAATGAAGGAAAATAAAGCGAGACAATTGACATAGGAGAAAAAATGGACAATAATTAGGCCTTTGTTATGTTTTCAATGCAAAGTTACATAAGATACACTTCTGTCTCCTTTATTTTCATTTTCATTTGCCTTGAAACATCATGATTTCGATCATTTATTAATGCTAAATATTTATTTCTTTTCATTTTAAATTGGGTGATGTTGAATTGAATATGATAAAGAAAAAGAAGAGGGAGAAATAAATCAAACAAAAGAAAGAACCTTGAGATGATAGGAAAATGGAGCTCTTTAAAAAAAAATCCATTATTCATTCCATCAAGCAATCTCAATTTAAATGCTTTTCAATGCTTCAATTAAAAAAAAATTTATTAAAAGTCGCGGTTCATGGATATTCATTAATTAGATTTTTATAGCAATTTGGTTTCTCTTTCTGGCTTTAGTCGTTCTTCTTTAAAGTTTTTATTCTGTGCTGGACCGAGTGGTGCATGGTCGGTTTTGGAGAGTACCATATGATCAAGTTCCTGGTTGAGTAGCTAGGTACAGAACGGTCGAAAGGTTTAATTGCATTTGGGAGGGTTTTAAGAGTCACTCTTTGGGATTGATTTGAGAACTTTCTTATAGTAATGTCTACAATGCCTACCTCCCCATAACTGTTTAAATTAGAACCTATCTATCCTAAGCAACTGAAAATATGGCACTTATATAATCAGTAATATAAAAAACTTGTTATGCCTGGTTGTAGATGCTAAACTTACAGAAATATTTCATTTCATAATCCAATAATATCTGAAATCTCAACCCAACCAATATCCATCCAATATATCCCGGGATAGTTTATTCATTCTCATTCATACCAAATGCTTAATCAGAATAATTTTCAATTCAGAATTTTAATTTGACATAAAAAATGTTCTCATTTCTGTGTTGCTAGATTATTACAGACGTGAATTATTCATTTTTTTCACAGATGATTAGTGGAACAAATTGCAACCAGACAAGTCGTGATATTTACATTTGCCTTTTGGATATCAGTAAATTAATTTTGTTTTGTCGCCTTATGGTATTTTTTTGGATTAATTTTTTTGTGTGATGTAAGCGAGTGACATATGGAAAGTGATGGAGATTTGAAGGTCTTTTGGTTTAAAGGCAAATGTTTTTTGAAGGAAAATATGCAAAACCTTCTAAGAAATTGAAATTTTCGTCACATCTTGTTTGGCTTCATCATTTTACAGTCAATATCCAAAAAGCATGTAAAATTGCAATCAAATGCTTCAATCATCAACATCAAAAAAGTACCAAAAGACCACAAACAAAACAATTTATTCAAAATTTTTTCTCTCAAATCATCTTCAATTCAAATTAAAATTCTCATTCTGTTGCATTGACCTTTCATGTCATTGCCATTACATCCGCATACAGATGAGATATACTCAACATTATCTGAAGAGCAGCAGAGAAAAAAAAAATTCCAATTTGCCTGATGGATTAGTCCATGAAATTGAATTTTTTTTTTCATTCTCAAATATTTATCTTTTGGATTCTTTCTCCAACGTCCCGTTTTTAGTATTTTGAGATGACTGTTAAGCTCTTTGTGCTGTGTAAATTGCATCCTTTTTAACATACACACATGTGGATAGATGTGGACGGGAGCATGTGTGTGAAATTGTAAGTTTTTTCATCAAAAAAAAAAAAAACTCTAAAGGATGAAGTTTTAGGTCAGCTTGAAAGCTTTTTGGTAGTTTTTAGAACTTTTGTTGATTTTTCATGAACTAACACGAATGATGATCCCATCCACAATGTCATCAAAATATAGTAATGAACTCGACTATCCACTAAATCATAAAAAAGGTATTTAAAATCTACTCACATTTGGATCATTAAGTGTATTATTTTCATCACTATCATCACTCGTTGAACCATTTTCATGGCTGTTAATTGGCGCTGTTTGCGGTGGTGATTGTCCAATGTAATTATTACCACCACTCATTTGCGGTGACATTTGTGGTTGAATTTGTTGCTGCTGTTGCTGTTGATGCTGATTTGGTGGTGGCTGTTGATGGGTCTGTTGTGGCGGTTGCATCATTAACATTTGTTGATTTGGACTAGACAAGTGATGATAAGTGGAATGATTTGTTGGTGAATGTAAATTATGATATGTTTGATTTCCAGACATCATATGAGATTCGGGACCTTGAGCCGGTGACGCTTGTGGATGTTGATGCCATTGATGCTGACTATATTGATCATTCATTAGGCCACCCATTTGACTATGCATTTGATATTGATCTAATTGATGATGTGAAGGATGATGAGGTTGCTGATGATGATGATGGGGATGCATTACGCCCGGCGGTATGTCAAATTCTTCATCTCCAAATGAGGGTGTGTGAAATTGTGTCTGTAGATGAAGTAAGAAAAATTAATCGTTAATTAATGAAAGTAATTGCAATTAAGTTCGAAGCTAAACTTTTTTTTTATCCAGGCACTGATGATGACCTTCATTAAAAACACACTTTCAGCTCCACCATGACGAGTTAAACGGTTATGAAATCCCAATTAATGATAATTAGATTTTTTAGTCCTCTTCTTCTTCATTCCTTCTATCTTTCACATGCAAGATGCCATGAGAAATATAAGAAAATGCCAAATTAATGCCTCTTTTATTCGTAATTACACGATGTCCGTAAAAAATTCTCTCTCCGTGTCTTCTTCTCTTCTTTAATCGACGTTTAATTTGACTTTAATCACATTTTTCATGGATTCATTATTTCATTAAAGTTAAATCTCTTTATGATTTCTTATTTATTATGAATTAAATAATGAGGATTTGTAAATTTCTTCTATTGTCTTTTTTCTTTGATTTAAGACCAGAAATTGCTTTGATATTATGGTTTGAATTTGTAAAGCTTTATGGAATTGTTTCGCAGGTTTATAATGGCATTTTGTTATTTATTTGTTAAGAATCAGACATTTAAAAAAATGAATTTTGATATAAATGACATTATGTCAAGGGTTCAAATCCTGATTATTTAAGATTTATGTTTTTGCATTTTAGTATAATCCTTTTTTTTACTACAACGTTGTAACTGTTTGAATTGAATCGAACCTAAAGAATCGTCGGCTAGGAGTGTAGTGCATGAAGGTTTTGACTCTCCTCCCACCAAAAGTGTTTCGTAATAAGTGAATGACTAACTTAGCACCAGAAAGTTCCAAATAATTTTCAAAATACTAACCTGATCATTTAAATTATGGTATCTAATGTGACCATGTGGAGGTGGGGGTGGATGTCCGTTATATTGTGGCACAGATAATGAAACATCCAAATTCTCATCAGGTCTCTGCAAAATAGAGTAAGGAAGATAAAATATTGTTAAAAAATGCAATTAAATTTTCATTACGATACTAAGATACATGTTCGAGCTATTTTTCCTTCTTCTTCATTTTCCAGTCATTGAACTATATTTTGCAATTACGTGAGCTTTATGGTCTCGGTCATGAGAATATTTTTAAACTCCATTTGAAATGTAAAACGATTTTTTATCAATTTTTATTTCTTCTTCTTCTTTTTTGAGTGAACATTCCAAAGTAAGAAAATTGCTTTTTCGATACTATAACGAGCATGCAACGTACGTTCGTTCCTTAGCAACAATTTTTGTTGTTGTGTGCCATTAATCTTTTGTTTTGATATATCAATTGCAATATCTTTTGATGTTTTATAGCACATAATTCAATTTTTTGGATCATTTACTGCAAAAAGATCAAAAAGATTTTCTTTTGTGGTTCCTCGATGACGTTTGGCATAGAAATGCAGTTTACCTAGACAACAGCTCTGTCTATAAATTCATTAACAATCTCTATTTTGCTTTTTTTATGAAGCACAAAGTAAAAATTGAAATTTAATTTCAATTCCATTTTGATTTCAACTTTTTTTGAAAGCTTTTGTTTCAATTGAATTGCTGTATTATGCAATTGATGAAGTTACACAATTCAGATGGTTTCTAATTCTACATTGTAAACTTGATAAAACTTTATTGAGTAAAAATGTTTGTTATGATTTTTTTCAGGAATTTCATTGATTTTTTTGGAATTTTAAACAATTTGTTCTTACCAACTTAACTTGAAATTTGCGTAATAATCTACTTTTATTCACATTTCACGTGATTAATAATTTCAAATTAATTTAAAACGATTTTGTAAGGAAATTTTTCTCATTAAATATTTAAGACTAGTAAATTGTTGGAAGCACGTGCTTACTTGTACAAATGTCAAACATTATGATTTTGATGTTAGAAATTTAAAATAATTAGAATTATGATGACATACTTTTCGTATCGTGAGACTGTCACATTTGTTAAGACAAAGTAATTGCTGTTTTTTATTGATAAGGTAAGTATTTATCTTTAAAGTTCTTAAAATTTGAATAAAAAACTTAAATTTTTCATTAACATCGGGAATGAATGTCAAAATATTTTATGTAAATGTCCTTATAAATTCATAGTGTTAATTAATAATACTTTGTACTAGAATATGAACCTGGTTTTGGTTTAGAATAATGTTTTCGAAAGAATACACCAATTAAATGCGCTCTGAATCACACTAAACACTAAACACAAACCCAAATTGTTTTTTAATAATTTAAAATTCCAAATTCAACCCATCCCGAAAAAAAAATAATAAATTCATAACATCATGGATGTAGACTTAATTCACCTCCAATTACAATCTTTATTACTTCAATTATATTTAACTATTGAATTGATAGACAAATAAACCACACAAAAATATTATTTTTTAACTACAGAACAATAAGGCAAGAGTACAAAAGAGATGCACACAGAATGAAAAATACAACAATAATTTTTCTTCTCTTCTCAAAATCATCAAAGTAGAATAAATGATGATAAAAAGAAGAAGACAAAAGGCAGCATAGAAACAGTCTCAAAAGAGGAATTCAAGAATCATTAAAAATATGCGGGTGATTGAACTTTCAATCGGAGCCATTTTTTAAAAAAATATAAAATAAAAGAGAAACAAAAAAGAAAAATAAAAGTAAGTTTAGTTTTGTATGTTTAGAGATGTAAAGGTAAGGTAAAGAGTTTGTGGGAAATTTTTTAAATGACTTTTATGTGACGCATTTTGCATCTAAATTTGAAAATCCCGTGATTTAATTTGGGGGAATTTCATTATGTGAGATAAAAGAGCTTGGTCCTGTATAAAAATAATAAAAATTTTCCCCAATTAGTTAGCAACAAACTTTATCTATAGACAAAGCTTATCGTAAGCTGCAGACAGTCCGAAGTTTAATTGAAATTTTTTTTCCGGTCGTCTGAGCTGTAGCTTAACGCAAATGCTAGATCAGAAGTTTAATTTAAAAATAAAATGGCCAAGGTTAACATAAAATTTGTTATTTGATAAATTCACTGTAGATTCAATGTTATTGGGTATTGCTGATAAATTGATAAAGTTCAAAATTGAGACATAATTTTGGTGGATAGTTTTTAAAATGTTTTTGATGTGATTGGATTTAAATGGAACCTCAATTTGCTCAAGGAGGCTCAAGGAGGCTCTAGTTAATAAGGTGGTGCCTGAATGTGCTAGAATGTTGCTGTGTTAATAGATGAGTCCAGCTGTGTGTATCTTTTGAGGTGCATTGCGAACTAAAACACGATGAATGTGCATAATTTTAGTAATATGATCGTTGAGATGATCCTATTAAGAGATTGAAAAGCCTTTGTCAAAAATTATGGTTCCTTATTCCCTTTTTTCCGTTTTCACTCTTCCTCCTTAAAATAGTTTTCTCATAAGCCAATAGACAAATTGCAACTAGAACTTTTTATCAACCTACAAAACAAGCTCTTCAACTCGAGATGATCATCAAAATTTCATTTTTCTTTCTCCTCTTTTCTTTTGTCTTTACTTCACGTAACTCAGTTAGACACAAAACTCGAAGTGAGAGCTTTTCTCCGTGCATACTCTTATTTCATTTTCATTTTACAAAAACAGAAAAAATCTCGATAATGAAAAAAAAAGTTTTTTTCTTTTATTCTTTATCCAATAAAAAAACCTGTTTGGGCAACAGCTGTAAAAATTAATCATTCTTTGTTTGTAACGTTTTAATTTTTATTTTTGGTTTTCTCTCTTCGTTCCTCTCTTTATTCTTTATGTGATTAATTAACATTCCTATTCTTTTATTTTTAAAACATAAGTAATACTTGTTTTTCATACACAATACATGCACAAGAAATGAGAATTAAAATAATTTTTTTTCTTTCAAGATCAGGCAATGTGTTATGATAATAAAAGGAAGGGAAGTGTTAAAGGTTATATATTACTTTTTTTATTGTAGCATTAAAAAATGTAAGAGAGAGAAAAAGGATTAAAAATGCATTGAAAGGGAATTAAAAAAATTCTTTTCGAATGTAATAAAGGAATTAAGGTTGAGTTTAATTCTCATTTTTGTGAGCTTCATTTGCAGGTTTCTGTGTAATTTTTGTTGCTTTTATGGGAATAATGATATTTAAAAGGTTTCAATTTGTGCTATAAAATGTACTTTTAAAGTTATTTTGGCTGTGATTCCGATTAAGTTGAAACTCACTTAACAGTGATAGCAATTAGGTGATCAAATGGTTGTTATATCCAACCAAAAAGCAAAAGACTGTCTCTTTTAAACTATAGGTTTAAGATTCTTATTTTTTTGAAACTTAAACACAAATCTTTTTTAATAATCCCTATTGTATGGGAAAAATACACGGTTTTTAAAGTTCAATAGCTTTTATTTTCAGCTCCTAAATGCGCCTTATTCTCCACAAACCCTACAACAACTCTTGAGCCTCCAAAAATTTTAATTGCCAGTACGAAATCACATGAATGTTGTTGTAATCACTTCATTATTTTTTTGTATCATAATTGAATGTTAATGACTCATGACATTTTTTATTAGCTGTGAGACATTCAAAAAGAAACATGTATTTGGAATCTAATTAAATGAGACTAACGAACTGACATTTAAATAAGAAAAAAAAGAGAATTAAAATTATTATTGTTGATAAAAATCAAATAAAAGTTTTTTGTTCACAAAGGTTGAATCTGACGGGGATCTGATGTAAGAAAATTAAGTACGGATATTGTTAAGGTTTATTGTTTGGTTATTTGTCTCATTTTTGTGTGTAAGAAGTGATGTAAATTATGGATTAGTAAAGTTTCATTGGAATGTTAAGCTGAGGAGTAGTTTGCATGTGATGTCATGCCTGAAATTCTATTAGTTGCTCAACATAAAAGTTTTAAAGAACATTACAAGAAAAAGCCATCTTGCACAAAATTTTAATCAGATTACTTTCAGCACTTCCAGCGCATTTAAAAATAATTGAATGATGATTTATGAAGCAGCCAATTAATTTGAATCATTTTCAAATTGGCAATCATCTTCAAAGTAAATTAACAATTATTGAGTTTTAAGCTACTTTATGTACTAATATGGTCAATTAAATTCGCATTTATTAAAAGCAAATGAATCATGATGAAAACATTTGAATCATCATTATCAATTTGCACATTGTTTTTGGGTATGGAGTGGATTGTTTCATGGAATATTGAGTATTTGAGTCTATTGAGATCATTAATGTAATGTGTTCTGGAAATTGGCTATCAATAGCTGCAATTTATGGGATGATTTTGATGTAATTTATTAATTGGTCGTTTTTTGATTCCAAACATTGGTTATTTTTGACTATGTTCCCCTTCCTGTATGTCATGAAATAAAGTTAAATTCTGTCCTAGAGCCACACCTTTCCAAACTTGTTTAATTAACCCCAAAAGTATTTTGTAATCGCCAAAGGTCCCTCAAAAAGCTTAAAATATTTGCCATGATCAGTATCCAATTGAAAATCTATTCAAAAATCTTCTTGATGCTTTAAAAAAAAATCTCGTAGAATCACGACTGTTTATAATTCTGTACGTTTTACTGCCCATTTTTGATATCCTTATCATCCACCTTAATTTAATTTGCCCTACTCAAAATTCACTTGAAAAGCTGTAATTTTTGGGTCGCGAGATCAAAAACCCTCAGCATAATAAACTGCACAGATTACAAAATTTTTGCTGAGAATGAAATAAAAATCAAGAAAAAACAAAAAATTCATTCTTGCGCATTTATATTAATACATTTAAGCTCATTAGCGTGGTTTTAAAACTTTTTTTCATATATGATATGGACTTATGCAATTTTTAGTGCGATAATTCTGAATTCTAATTAGCACTTTTTTATAACTTGCAAAAAGAGATTTTTTCTCACATTTTACGATTAAAAAAATAAAGCGAAAACATAAAAAAATGTAAAACT